TTAATACCTCCCTTTTCTGCTTGTGACGATTCAGGGACTAAAGTGACCATTCAGACACCTGTGTGTCTTGGAAATTGGACTGCAAAATGTTGGCATCTGAAGGGACCTCAGAGATCATGTAGTTTGGTGGTTTTCAAACACATTCTGGACACAGAAACTGGAAAAACTAGAAATTCAACCCTCACTGCAAAAACCAGGAAATGCAGGCTTGAGGTGAGAGGCAAAACTAAGACCAGCACTCAGATACCTGATTCTCAAACAATCCTGTGTCAGCTAAGATGCTCTCGGCTGTATGTAGTAAATGGCTTAGCAACAACAGTGCCTCACATGAGAGGTCCAGGGACGGGGGTCCAAGGACAATATTGGGTCTGAGCAATGTCACCAAGGGCCAGCTTAACACCACCACCCTCTGTTCTCGAGTCTGTTTGTGACAAACACTAGGGACCACCCTTCACCCAACATAATGATGCAGCAAAGGGTCTGACTGCTAACCAGAAGGCTGGTGGTTCAAACCCACCAGCCACTCCTCAGAAGGAAGGTTGGGCGATCTACTTCCATAGTGATACTGCCTCTGAAACCCGAGGAGGGATCAATATGAGTCGGCTCTGACTCGATGGCACATAACAACAACAACAACAACATATCTCCTGTGACAAACCTTCCCAAATGACTCGCCTCATGTCTCCTTGACATCACCACAGGGTGATGCCCCCATCAGTCAGGCACAGGCGAGGAGCACGGGCTGGCAGGGGCACACGTACCTGGAGGTCTGACTCTGTGGAACCAGACAGATCCCTGGCATCACTGGGCTAGATCCCTAGAAGAGAGGCAGGTGGCCCATGTTGGGACATGGTTCTCAGCAATCTCCCCCACTTCTGCACATCTTCTGAGCAGAGGAACTGGCAGAGCCTTCCAAGGATGCTTATTGTTCTGAATTGAATTGTGTCCCCAAAAAGATCTGCTGACTCCTAACCACTGTTATGCAAAAATTTGGGTCTGTGCCTGGGAAAATGCATAGACAATAAAGTCACCCCAAGAGACAAGAGAAGGAAGACTTCAATCAACTAAGCAGAAGCGGGGACAGACGGAGTTTCAGTAGGCTCCAAAGATCTGTCCACCCCCAGTGAGCAAATACAGGGTTTGTATCGGTTGGGCTGAGACTCATGATCCCATGCACACATCTCATTCTCAAGGATGGGGCTCCTGAACCCATGAGAAGGACACAGAAAGGCCACTAAAGGATAACTAAGCATCAGCACTCAGCTCTGGTGGCATCCACACCAGGTAGATGTGTCTGTCTCCAAGCTGATGGCCCGTGGACTGTCTCAGGCTGCATTCCTGGTGTCTTTGGGTTCGTGCCTCTGGGTCCGAGTGTTCTTTCCGGATGCTAGTTTATACATTAGGTTATCACCACCAGTGCCTGTGAACGTGACTTTGTTTGGAAATGAGGTTTGTGAAAACAGAGTAGGGTGAGTCCTAATCGCATCCAAAGAGAAGAGACACAGTTCCAAGGCAGAATAAGGACAGCCATGTGATGCTAGACAGATAGAGCTGCAAGCCACGGAATGCCAGTGATCCCAGGAGACCCCAGAGGCTGGGCGAGCGGCCTGGGGCATCTCCTCTCTTGGAGCCTCAGACAGAATTGGCACGGCCGATACCCTGATTAGAGATCAGACTTCCAGCTTCCGGAACTGAGAGACAGTAAATTCCACTCTTCAAAGCCCCTGCTTGGTGGTGTTTTGCTGCAGCTGTCCTGGGAGACCTAGACACTTGCACAGCATCCAGCTTGGAATGTGGAGGGGTGTCCCCTAGGGAGGGTGGCTTTGCTTCCTGTCCAGAATAACAAAGATAGTTCTATCTCCAGGGCAAAGGGGGGCAAGTTTGCTGCAGCCCCCTTTAAAATGTTGGGGTTCCCTAAGCTTAGGGCCCCTCAGACATAGACCCACTGTGTGCAGCACCTCCCCTCAGTCCCACCACATCACCCCACAGGGCTTACAGGAGGGAAGAGGGAGCTGGTATGACCCCAGCCTTGTGCTGGCTGGTGTGTCCTGAGTGACAAAGTCCTCCCTCCTTGGCCAGGGGTCACCTGTCTTCTCCAGCATCCCTGAAACCAGGCCGGCTGACTTGTTAGCAGCCAAGCCTCGAAATTCTCTGTTCCGGACACCAATGGAAGGGCCGCATCAGGGCCACTAACGGTCTTCCCATGAGCCATGCTGTACATGCCCAGTTCTCAGATACCTGTTTATGGAGAGAAGGCTTCACACACAGGAAGTGCCCTTCCATGGGCAACAGCACCACCCCTAAACTGGGGGCTCTGCGTCCTTCTGCCACCCCTCTGTGCCCTCACTGACCCCACATGTATCGCCCTGAAATGCCAGCTCCCTCCCCCAGAGGAGCAGGGCACTCAGCCTGAAGAGGCTGTGGAAATGGCCTATGTTGGACTGTGGACGGGCTTCCCCACAGAATCCTGGAGCGGGTCTCAGACGCTGATGTGGCCACAGCCCCTCCCCAGGAAGCGGCCGAGGGGAGGGCCATGCTAAGTGGCAGATGTCTCTCCTGCAGAGCCTGGCTGGAGTCTTTGTAAGAAGGACACTCTGTGTGGAGGCCCTTGGCCTGGCCCCGACTGGGGTGAGAGGCAAGGAGCTGTCCCAGACCCCTGGGAACTGTCTGTCCTTCTCCACCGCAGTGGAGAAGACCACGGCCCAGGAAGAAACAGGGAAACGGTGGTTGAAGGGAAGGGGTCTTGCATTGTACGTGAGGGACCCAGGTTCAGTTCCCAGCAAAGGCACCGCACGCCCAGCCCGTCCCCGCCTGTCCACAGAGGCTGCGTGTGGCTGTGACGCTGGACAGGCTTCAGTGGACCTTCCATACAAGATGGCGTGGGAAGAGAGGCCTGGGCGTCAGCTTCGGAAAACCAGCAAATGCGAGCCCTGTGGGTGTCAGCGGTCCTATGACAGCTGGTCCCGGGGATGAGGTAGACCCTCAGTGCTCCCTCCGCTGCGGGTGGGGCCGCCGCAGGGCATTGACTCACCAGCAGTGAACAAGCGTGACAACTGAGAGAAAAGTGTGGCCCTTCCCTGAGACCTGCTGGTGCCTTGCTCAGGAGTCCTCATGGCTGAGGCGTAGCAGGGGAGACTGTCAGCGTCACACTCACTTTCCCTAGATCCTATTTCCCTGGTGGAGTTGATGCCCATAAGAAGAAAAGTCCCTCCCTCTTAGCCCAGGCATCTTTGCCCTCTTGTCATCCTCACAAGTGACATTAAACATGCAGCTGCCGAAGCCTGAAGCCTGCTGTGACTCATAGTCCAGAGAGCTCTCCGTGGCTGAAGCCTGAAGCCCCTTCACCTCACAGAGAGTCCGGAGAGTTCTCCGTGGCTGGTATTTTGAGTTCATCACCAGCCCTTTCTTACAAGGCACCCCTGGATGGACTCCAGCCTTCTGGTGAGCAGCCAAAAGCATTGAGCATTTGTACAGCCCAGGGAGTCCATAGTAGCATAAAACAAACCATCAGACCTGGTGCTGTGGAGTGGACTTCACTCATGGTGGCCCCATGTTTACAGAACTGGACTGAGGAGAACCCAGGGTTTTCCTGGTAGCCATCTTCACAGAAGCAGACCACCAGGTACTTGTCTCCGCAGCACCACTGGGCGGGTTTGAACTATCAACCTTTAGGTCAGTACGGGAGCACAGGCCGTCTGCACTGCCCAGCGGCCTTTTTGCTGTAACGTGGTGCATTAGCAGAGGACAGCCGATCACATCCAACCACAAGAGTTCTTTTGCCCACTTACTGAACCCCATCACCTGCATCCCCAGCATGCTTGTGTAAAACCCTGGGAAGGTCGCTAGCCTCCCACGGGCGGGGGGAGGCGGGGAGGGACCTGAGGGGGCGGGGACAGGGGTATAGGAAAGAAGGACAGGGCTGGGAGGCGGGCCCACGGGCGGGGGGGGGGAGCACTACTCCTGGCAACCTGGAGCGGCCAGCTCCTCATCAGAGGAGATTCGTAAGTGAGTGCATGAGGGTAACCATCACATTCTTGGGTGAACTCCGGCTGGTGAAACTGAGTCCTGCAGCTAATGTTAGCGCAGCTTTCCCAGTGGCCAGGAGAGGCAGGAGGACACCTGGTCCATCACAGTTTTGAAATTACATGACTGCTTGCAAAACCATGACAAAACAGTAGCAGCCCAGGGAAACAGCTTTCCAGGAGCCTGGGGCAAATGACAGACACTTCATTAAACTGCTCGGGATTAGGCTGAAGGGCTTACTGGTGGATGGTGCCAAGTCTCCTTATCAGAAAGGTAGGATGTTCGCCGTGGGGCGCTGTGATGTTAAGGTTTCCCGAACCACAGGGGCACCTAACTCCAAGTGGGATGGTGAGGATCCAGGAAACAAGGTTCTGAACATTCCCTCCAAGAAGCACGTGCCATGTCAGTGTGTCCAGGATCTGGGAACTCCCAGACCAAGGGGCCAGGGTTCTGGGCCGAGCTGCCCACCACTGCCGTCATCATCTCTCCGGGCACATCTGAGCTGCTGAAGGGTCAAGCCAGCATGGGATCTGGTGAGAACTGGGGCTCCGAGACAGGACCCACCAGGGCTGCGGGCCTGCCCCACTGCTCCCCAGATCCCAGGCCCTGGGCAGGTGTGCAGCGCCCAGGCCCGTAGCCTCCATGGGAGAGTGGTAAGGGGCAGGTCCTGCCAGGCGTCTGGAGAGACCAGTGCACGCATGCTGGGCTCAGGGCCCTTGGTGGTGACTGACGCTGACGATGGTGGACGGTGGTGGACAGGGGTCCTCCTCCCACCACCTCCTGCAGGCCTGGGACACGCCGAGGAGTGCCCCCCACCCGCGTTGGTTTTCCTTAGTGTCCTTGTGCTGTGCATGTCCCTGCACCCCTGCCCTGGGGCCGCCATGGTCCCAATCCCTGGGCAGCGCGGGTTCGGGTGTCGACCTGTTGCTGGGGCGTCTGGGAGAAGGCGCTCACGCCTGCACATTCTCTGCCTGCAGCGGCCACAGACGTGTCCTTCTCATTCGACGTCGGCAACGGGCCGGTGGAGCTCGTGGTGAGAGCGCCGACTCCACTCAACGACGACCAGTGGCACCGCGTCACTGCCGAGAGGAACGTCCAGCAGGCCAGCCTGCAGGTGGACGGGCTGCCGCCGCGCGTGCGCAAGGCCCCGACCGAGGGACACAAGCGCCTGGAGCTCTACAGCCAGCTGTACGTGGGTGAGTAGCTGGGTCACCGCGGGGCAGGCACAGCTGGGCGCTGCAGGAGGCCCACTGCCCGGCGCCCCCACAGTGCGCCCCTCCTGGAAGTCGGGGCTAAGTCGCCACCAAGGGCCCTGACGTTGTGGGTGGACAACTGTGTGACACACTTTGAGCTTTTGTGCACCTGTCACTGTGTCAAGGGGGGAGCGGGGAGGCGAGGAACACAGCGCCCCATGACTGGGAGGGAGGGAGGAGGGGGGAGACGAGGAGCACAGCGCCCCATGTCGGGGAGGGAGGAGGGGGGAGACAGCGCCCCATGTCCAGGATTACACAGCCCCGCACATGATCCCACGAAGTGATCCCTTTGGTAACTCCTCAGAAGTAAATTATATTCATTTTTCATCACCCCTCCGAGTTACTGTTCGTATTCAAAAACAGCATGCCCCACTTCCAAAGTAAGAAGCCACTTCTCCTTGTGAACTGTCCCAGAATTCTTTCCCAGAATTTGATGACACTGGCGGCCCTTGGGAGTCTTTTTCACTAGGCACCAAAACCCCAAAATCCAAACCCACTGCCGTCGAGCAGATTCCAACTCACAGCACCCCTACTGGACACAGTAGAACCCCCTAGGGTTTCCAAGGCTGAAAGTCTTTAGGGAAGCTGACTGCCTCATCATTCTCCCAGGGAGTGCCTAGTGGATTCGAACCACCAACCGTGTGGTTAGCAGCTGACTGCTTTAACCACTCCTTCACCAGGCACCACGGACTGGTATCAAGCATGACAGAAGCCAGACAGAAACGCTTGCAGAGAGCCAGGGTATCTGTAAAGCAGCCAGCAGATCCATCCAGACCCAAGTAATGTTCCCAGCCTCCTTCAAGCAGACTGAGTTCTCACCCACCCTGTGGTGGGGACGGGATGCTGGCTGGGCCCCTGGCAGGGTCCCGGACCTTCCAGCTGGTGCCCTGGACCTCTCCCGGGAGGGAAAGTGAGTGATGTGAGAGGTAAAGACAACTGCCATCAATACAACTATAAAATGATTCATTTATTGAACCCTTGGAGACGCACTCACTAACCCATGGCCACCGCGTGGATTCTGACTCATGGTGACCCCCTGTGTCACAAAGCATCAGCTCCATAGGGCTTCCTAGGCTGTAATCTTCACAGAAACAGATCACCAGGCCTTTCACCTGCAGAACCACTGGGTGGGGTCGGGCACACATCACCCAGGGACCTGGTGAACTGTACAGTGAAAACCAAATTCACGCCATGAGCTCAAAGTGCAGAGACACAAACATGTAGCTTGTTGGGGACACCGTGAACCCCACTCCTGTCGCCCTGGGGCATCAGTCCTCCCCCCCAGGATTCAGCCCTTCCATTCTGACCTCAGCTGCCCACCCGCCTGCCACCCAGCTCACACCCACTTACTCGGTGCGCCTCACAGGCCAGCACAGGCCCCACCGATAGTCCCCATCTGTTTGTCCTGCCCTTTGCCCTTCAGCAGTGGAGGCAAACTCACACAGGTCAGTGTGGGAGTCAGGCTCTCACCTGTCCTGCGAGTTAGGATCAGCACAGTTCTTGCCCTTCATTTGCTCTCGACACAACCAAGCTCACGTACACTTTCAGCTGCGTTCAAGCCCTCTTTATGGGAGTCTGTCAGTCACCTGAGGGGCTCTGGTGGCACAGTGGTTAAGTGCTCAGCTGCTAAATAAAAGGTGATTCAAAGCCATCAGTCACTACACGGAAGAAAGATGAGGTAGTCTGCTTCCATGAAGATTGACAGCTGGGAAACCCTCTGGGGCAGTTCCACTCTGTCCTCTAGGGGCGCTGTGGGTCAGCTCGCCAGCAGTGGGTTTGGTTCTGGTTTGTGAATCCCTTGTCTTCACAGGTGCCAAGTTGCTTTCCTAAGCCAGAGGCAGTATGTGTGCCAACTTCAGAGACAGATTTTAGGCCCTAAGAACAGGCCGTCCTGTGCTTTGGGTCTGTGTGGATACACCACACGGGGCAAACGCTTTGGGGCTCTATGACCTCTGCCCCATTTCTTCATGGGAACGTGAATGGCCTGATCCAGGGAAAACATTGCAATGTAGAGGCACCAATTTTGCAGCCAATAGGGAAATATTTTCCACAGATTTATCAAATAATTTCTCATATAGTTTTTCATTCTTCCAGTGGGGACAGAGCTAAGGCTCACAGCCATAACTGTCACTAGGAAACAGTTGAAAAAAAGAGTGTTAGCACCAATGTACTGGTTGCCTAGTGCCTCTCTGGCAGAAGCATACCACCAATGGGATGGCTTGTTCTGGTTCCCTAGCGCTGCTCTGACAGGAACATACCACAAATGGGATGCTTTAACAAACAGGAGTTTATTCTCTTACAGTTTGGAGGCTCAAAGTCTGAGTTCCAAGTGCCAGGCTGTAGGGCCTGGGTGGAAGCCCCTCAGCCTTGGGCTTCAGCTCTGCCTCCTGCTCCCGGCCCACTGAAGCTGGAGGCTTTGCTTCACTCAGCTGCTGGCTGCTGAGGCTGACAAGCCCAAGGTTGACAAGTAAAAAGGCACAGTCCTGCTGTTACCAAACTACATGATAGGCCATTGATTCACATCCATTGGAAGTCCCAAGGTCAGCAGAGCATGGCGGGCTGCTGAACAACAGCTTGCCTACATTCAGGTTCAAGCATGCCATAAGCTCGAGACGGCTCACCAAGGCTTCTCCTTCTGTACAAGAAGCAGACCACATCCCTAAGGCTCCCAGTAGATCCCACCATGGAGCTGATTACCAGCCTCATCATGGGGAATACTACATCCAGCTGCCCAGCCACTCAACCAGGCCCAGCCAAGTTGACACACAAACTGAACTACCACAGCCAGGAACATGACCTGGAGAAGGGATGGGTCCAGGGCCCCAGGGCCCCTCTGGTGACTACAGAGAAGACTGTAGAGATGCCACTGTCTGAACCTCCCAGGGGCCACCACCACTAACGACCCCAGAATTTGTTCTCTGCAGCTCTGGGGGCTTCAGCGGGGCCACGGGCTCTCTGAAGGCTCCGGGAAAAGGCCTTCCTTTTCTGTGCACTTCTGGTGGCCCGGGCATTTGTAGCATCCCTTGGCTTGTAGACACATCTCGACATGATGTCGGTCTTGACTCCATGTCCATGTCTGTCCTCCCCTTTTATAAAGCCCCCTTGGAAGGGCTGAGACCCATATGTGCTCTGCTGTGACTGTTACCTTGATTGGTCACATCTTCCCAGACCATTTCTAGACATGGTCACATTCACAGGTACTGGGCTTAGGACGTCAGCAGATCTTTTTGGGACACAGCACAGTCCATGACAGATTCCACTCTCATCAACTCTGAATTCAGATGCACAGGTGGTTTCCCACCCAGCTCCACTGTGCGCACCCTTCCTTCACCCATCTCCTTTTCAAAGCCCTCCCTCCCTCCCACAGTGTACATAAGGGCTGGGTGGTCCACTCTCAGTTTCAGGCCCCTCGTGCCCAGCCTGCCAGGCACCCCCATTTTCTTTTCACTGTTATTCCTCCTTGTTCCCCACTCCCAGTTCCACTGTTTGCTGGCACCCCCTCGATTGTATTTCCTGTAGGTCTTGCTAATCCCCCTTCTGTCATCTTGCTTAAAGCTATACATGTGCTTCAGGTTTCAGTCTTGCTTTCTCTGGACAACACTGCACTGCCAGCCTCGCCTGCCTTCCTCCTTTCACTCAGTGGTGCGGCTGGAAGGTCTATCTGAGCAGCTCCAGGAATGCAACGAGCATGCAAGTCCATGGCCACATAGACCCCCCTCAGCTCTTTGCAATCACCAGTAGCCCTGTCCTGGATATATTGATGCAGGGTCGCCTGTCAGCTGTGTGAAGGTGTCTCATGTGTGCATGCATGCATGTGTGCACGTCTAGGGGAGTGATGATCACTGAGTCACAGGGCATGTACGTATGAATGTCCCTAGGTCCCACTTGACCCATCAGTTTCTGAGCATAAACCTCAAACTTGATTGGTTGAGTTCTCTGTTGCTATCAGCACTTCTGCATTTGGTGTGTTTCATGGCTGTTTGGTACTTAGATGTGTTCACAGTCTTCTAGATGCATTGCTTCTTCTCGCAGTCTGTAAGGCCCATCTTTATTTCTCACATTTTTCATCTCATGGTTTTACTTCTGCTCCTAAAACTGCTACCAGTGTAGCCTTGTGGTTGTTGCCACTATTTGCCAGATTTTTTGTACAGGTGTCTGTCTCCTTAAGAATCCTATCGCAGAATCTTTGTAGAATCCCATCTGGTTTTCATCTATTGATTGTAACCCTGCTGGCTGCAGGGATACTCCTGTGCCCTACTCACCGCAGGACCCACCCCCACCACCCACTGCTCAAGGTGGATTTCATTCTCCTGGTTTCAAAGCTGTACGTTTTGCTTCTCTTCCTCAGAGAGCTCTCCCTAACTTATCAAAACTCCTACTTACGCTTTTCCCCTGCTGGTAGTGGTGGTTCTCTCGAATCAGTTCTGACTCAGAGCAAACCCACGTGTTACGGGGTAGAAGTGCACTATGGGACACCTTGGGCTGTCATCTTTATGGGGACATATTGCCGGATCTTTCTCTCACGGAGCAGTGGAGTGGGCTCAAACTGCCACCCTTTCGGTTAACATCAGAGCCTATGTCCTCCTTATAAACAAGATAGGAGCAATCCAGCCCATTGCCACCTGTATGTCGATACCATCTGTAGTTTTAATTGCATGATCTATGGATGTGTTGTTGACCTTAGCAGCCTTGGCATTGGTTCTATCTCCTAACACCCCCATGTCCAACAAAATGGAACACTGCCCAGTCCATGCTGTCCTCACAGTCATTGCTATGCCTGAGTCCTTTGTTGCAGCCACTGTGTCAATCCATCTCTTTGGGGGTCTTTCCTCATTTTCACTGACCTTCTACCAAGCATGATATCCTTCTGCAGGGACTGGTCCCCCTAGTAACATGCCCAAAGTCCGTGAGACAAACTCTCACCATCTTTGCTCCTAAGGAGC